TTCCTTCCTTCCTTCCTTCCTTCCTTCCTTCCTGCTGGCCCTTTAAGATGTCTCATGTAATCCTTCTCCTTGAGACCCTGAGAGGAAGGCAGAGTTTGAATTGCCCAATAAACCTGACCTTCAGTTAAGGATCTCTGAGTACAGGAAATGGGCATGATTGCTGGTGGAGAGGGAGAAACAAGATGAGGGCCAATCCAGCAAGAGACTCATGAGCTAAGATGACCACTGTGCTCTGGGTCCTGCCCTACTGCCTAGAAAGTACTAGAAAGAGCCGGACGGAGCCTGGCTAGGAAAAACACATGCATCACAGAAAGCACCTGTGATTCAGGATGATCTGGAAGTGGGAGCCCTGACTCAAGGAAAACAACCTGTGGTCATGGTTAGCGAACACTGGGTAAATCTGCTATGCGCCAGGGTCTGTTCCAAGCCCTTTAGAAATAACATTCCATCGATTCCTCATATCAACAGCATGACCTCAGCAGTGTTTGTCAGCCTCACTCATTTTTTAGAGGAAACTGAGACACAGAAAATTCAAATAACTTCTCCCAAGGTTATACAAGCAATCTAGCTTCAGAGCCCATGGTCTTTATCAGCATTTTCAAAGCTTTCTGTCCAACCCACACCAAGAAATAATTCTACATCAGGAACCAGTATCTATGCACACATTTATACATAACTGAAAAATTTTAAAATATTTGTTTTGTTTTAAATATATATTTTTATTAACTTCAGAGAGGAAGGAAGAGGGAGAGAGAGACAGAAACATCAATGATGAAAGAGAATCATTGATTGGCTGCCTCCTGCACGCCCCCTACCAGGGATGGAGCCTGCAACCGGGAATTGAACTCGTGACCTCCTGGTTCATAGGACAACGCTCAACCACTGAGCGACAGCAGCTGGGCAAAACAAAATTTTTAAAACAGAATAATACTCACCATTACCACGTGCAATACACTCTGAAGCTTTCTTTTCTATTCCATCTCATTTAAAATATAGAGGGTGTCCCCCCAAAATGTATTCACACACTTTGAATAATTATGAAGGCAGTGTTTATTAAAATACATTTCATTTTCAACATTGAGCTATCAGCTCTTAAAGTGTGTATGCATTTTGGGGGTATACCCTGCACAGATCATTCAACAAGTATGTATGGAACATCTAATATCTGTTAGATGCTGTTTTAGGCTGTGGGGCAATGTCAGTGAAAGAAAGAGACAAAAATCCTTGCCCTCCTGGAGCTTGCGTTTTACCGGAGAGAAAGATGAATACGATCCACATACAAAATTGTTGCATCCCAGGTGGTAATTGGGTGAGCGCAATGGAGAAAAAATGAAGCAGGGACGGCCCAGGGTGGCCAAGGCGGCCTGGCAGTGCTTTCACTCCTCACCACAGGATTTCAGTGGGCTGTCACCCACAGTGTGAAAACCCCTGCTGTTAATCCCTCCGCTCTAGTGCCTCTCTGTATGCCTGAAGTCTCTTTCTCCTTGATTGTGTGCCAATATGCAACATGTATGTGACTGCGTGCACGTGTACACATGTACAGAAGTGTGTGGATGTGTGTACATGCATGTATGCATGTGCATGTCCACCCCCATTCACTTCCTCCCTGGGGAGGCTTTGGAGGCAGGAGGCAGCGCCCTCCCATGCAGTGAGTGGTGCAGGGGTTCCCTGCAGAGCTTGCCCTGAAGAGATGTCTGAACTACAGCCCAGGCACCGCTAGCCAAAGCCAGGCGTGCCAGACATGTGTCCTGGCTGGAGTCTTCAGTCCACAGGAAGCAGAATCTTTTTTTTTTTTTTTTTATCACTGATCCGCCCAAAGGGGGCACCTTTGGTAGTGGAAGTGCTCTCTGGGCTAGAGTGCCCTTAAGAAGAGAGGAGACAGTTTGAAGAAATAAAAGTCACTCCCTGGAGAAAATCCAGTGCATTGGGCACCCCGGGCAGGGTGATTGATGTGGGTCTGAGGGGAGATGGGATTGGAGCCAGCTCTGAAGCAGCGCTGGACCACTTGGGTAGCCTCCACTGAGGGCATTTGAAACTTGGCACTGGAGTGCAATCTTCAGACTCTTCCTTTAAGTTAAAGGGGCACATAAAAAAAAACCGTACTAGCATGGGCGGCAAAAGCATGATCTATGGGAAGAGCAGCCAATCTCAGCTAATGAATAAGTGTAATTGATCACAACAGATGACTTGATGGGCCTTCCAAATGTGCTTTTAGCAAAGTAGACAGTTTTTCATTCAAATGCAAACTTACCCAGATAAAATCTAATAATGGAAATTTTGGAACAATCCCAGCATCAGTGATTTTTTTTTTCCTTCCTTCACTTAGCAGGAAGGCATCTGAAGTTCCTGGTCTCAGCCTGAGCTAGACAGACACCAATTCATTCTTTCCCTGTAGTCGAGGAGACCCTGACCGCCCCAGGGGACAGCCAAGGAGCAGTCACAGGCCACCCCGCACCCCTGTCCTTTCCTCCTCCCTGACCTGTGGCTGCAGACATTTATTCAAGAAATATTTATTGAGCACTTACTCTGTGCAAGACACCATGCTGACGACCATCACAAGGGGATGCAAACTGTCTAAGATCAGGTCCTGTCCTCAGAAGAGAGGGCAGATGTGAGGGGAAACCACGAGTGACAGGAGGTCCAAGTGGAAGCACCAGCTCAGTTTCCTCCTTTATCATGTGAAGACACTGCCCTAGACATGATCTCTGGGCAGGGGGCCAGCTTGAAGACTCTATGATTCTACCAGGGGTGGGCAAACTTTTTGACTCGAGGGCCACAATGGGTTCTTAAACTGGACCGGAGGGCCGGAACAAAAGCATGGATAGAGTGTTTGTGTGAACTAATATAAATTCAAAGTAAACATCATTACATAAAAGGGTACGGTCTTTTTTTTTTTAGTTTTATTCATTTCAAATGGGCCGGATCCGGCCTGCGGACCGTAGTTTGCCCACGGCTTAGAATCTAAGCCCTTCCCTTCTCCCTCGGGCTCCTAGCTCCTAGGAAGCTGACAGACCAAGTGCAGCCTTCTAGGAAGGGGGCCAGGAGGGAAGGCAGGGAGGGGCCAGTGAGGACTATGTACCTTTCACCAAGTGATAACCTGTTTCAATTTGAGAGGAACACAGATACAGGCTGGGGGAGATGGGAGATAAGTTCAGAAAATTAAGTGGAAGATTGAGACCTCCACGTCAAGGAATCTGGGGGACATGGCAGCCACCAGTTTGTTCAGAGCAGGATCCTATCGGTGTGGCGCACAGGAATCTGGCCGACCTGTGGAGGGTGAGTTGGAAGGGGTGAGAGTGGATGATGTTGCAATGGACAGAGCAGAAAAGGCTGAGAGGCCTAAGTGCAAGATTCCTCCATGGTCGGGCCAAGCACACATTCCATCACCCCTGCCATCATCATAATGTTTATTTTTATGAACTCACCCAAGCCCAAATCACTCTGCACTAGGTGTCTGCTTTTTTTTTAAGTTCCACAAGTGGCTTCAAGGTAAACAGGTAAATCTTATCTCCCTTCTTCCCAGGCGCCCGAGGTTAAACTGGACCAACAACAAGGTGTGCCTGGGATGGGGTGACCAGCAGCCCCCCCAGGGGGTGCGCGAAATCGGGGATCTTGGGGGGGGTGCGCCTACCTGCAGAGGAGCCGTCTTCGTGGTCTGAGCTGTTGTGGCTGCAGTCACTGCCCCTCTCTGGCGAGCTGTGGCTGGGCGAGTCCCGCTCGGGCACCCACAGTAAGCCCTTGCGCCGCCGCCACCGGGGTAGGTGATCGCGGGCCCCGCGCCGGGGGGTCTCCTCTGTAGCGATGGGCGAGCGCCTGCCGTCCTTGGCCTCGGACTCCAGCTGCTCCAGGTCGCGGCTCCTGCGCTGTAGCCGCCGGCCCCCGGGGATCAGATGCATCCAGCGATGGGGGCTGCTCGCCCGTGCCGCCTTTTCGGCCTCACCGCGGGTCCCGAACCGACAAGGGGCCACAAGCAAGTGGCCTAGGACGAATTTCTCGTTCAAATCCACCATCTCGAAGTCGTGGTCACTGCTGTCGCCCCCATCATCCGCGCCCGGGGC